TGAAGCAAACATATATTTGCTATAACAATCGACTACGTTACTTATTTTCGTATTGGAGTAGAGTTTCGAGTCTACAAGTAAATCAGTAATATGAGAGGTATTCACCCTATTTCGTTTGAGGTGATGAAGGTGATGATGAAATTCATTTATGTCTTGTGACCCAAGGGCACTCGTGGCAATGTGGTCGGGTGGTTAACGTTGCAAACTCCCATTTTGAACTGTCACGGTTCGACTCCCGCTGGGGGTGTTGATAAGACCGATGCGAGATATAAACTGCAATTCACCCTGGATGAGAACAACTTTTGGGAAAACAAGGCTATTTGAAATTCAATGGAAGCGTCAGCTCTAGTCATAGCATTGTGGGAAAATTCTACTACCAGTCCTTCATCACCTTAAACGAAATAGGGTAAATGCCTCTCGAAAGTCTACTCCAATATGAAAAAAATATTATAGATGCTTTGGACAGATGGCTATCTGATGATTAATCTTTGAAGTAACCGTGCATGTCTGAGCTTGACTTGAATTCAACCTCGAATTATCCCGACTTGGTCGCCAAGTTTACCTTTATTTCTTATACTTATAAATCTATTTGACACCTTTTTTCGATCCAGAACTTCTTCGAAACACTAACATGCTAACTACTTCGGCAAACAAGACTTATGAGCATACTCCCGTTGTTCCTCTGCTACTATCTCGGCCCATTGTCTCTTTGAAGACTTCGCTCTCCACCCCCGCCGGCTCAACCCAAATGCAATCCTTCGTCGCCACATCTGCACCGCTAGACTGTGAGAATTCTCCTGACATCGCTACGCCTGGATTATGCCCTGTCTCATTCGAATCTCCAGGAGACTCTACACTGGCCACCGTTGAACTGGGCACTAGCGCAAACACCATCGGTACACCAGTCATCCGGCGTGGACAGTCGCCTCGTCGCTCTGCTGGTCGCCCAGACAGTCAATACTTTACACCGGGGGCATTCGTTGGGCCTGCACTTGATGGAGGTGGCCGCCCAGGAAATGGAGCTCTGTTGGGCATTAAGAAGCCACAGTTAGGTCACCAGCAGAATTATAACCATAATCAAAATCAGCATTATTACAACCCAAACCACCACCATTCACGATTTACCATTACTTGATTCCTTAGAGCTTTCCTATTTACTGAGGAACAGACGAGATATAATCGAACTCCACTTTATGGCTTGTATCCATTACCCTCTCAAGGAGCACTCGAAAAAATGTCTGCTTAAAGATCCAACGAGGCACATATTAAAGTACTGTTTAATCAAAAACCTCCTTGCGTATTTGTGCCCTCAAGCTGCGGATCGAGATACGATTAGATAAGTTTTAACCACTAAATAATTCCGATGGCTTCTCTAAGTTTTTCATGAGGCATCCATTTAATACATTCTAAACAGCTGGTAGTAGGTGGAAAATTCGGACCAAGCCAAGCTCCAGTTCCATAATTGATGCTTCATCATCGGTTGTCTCTTCTCATTTTGCAGCAAGCCCTTATCAACAGGTCATCCAAACGATATAAACTGGCAAATTTAAGCTGTTATATTTTTTCTCATCTTCTTACCCCTTGTCCACCGGTACCGTTGCTGCCATTGACACTGCGCAAAGCCAAAACGCAATCTCTGTATTGGCTGTCATGTTGCTGAAACATCATTCTACTTCATTCTTATTTACTATGTATTCTCTGGACTTCTCGCAGCCGACTTTAGAGCTTTATTTGCGATTCGCCCTCAGCAACTGAGCCATCACTCAGTTTCATTAATCTCTTATGTTTTGGTCTACCTGTATTCTTAAATCTTGCCCTTAGAAAAGGCTTCTCTCATTCTTTATCGCAATTTTTTACTTCCTTTTTTCTCTGCGCCAAACAACCCTCTTAGGCACCTTAATGACTACCCATTGAAATTCCTCTTTTAAACTAAAAGTCGATTCCATATCCCTTCTAGCCCATCGGAGTGCCCGAGTATGTAAATTCCTCCACGTACGGTGAATATTGTATTCACGGGTTATATGTGTTATCTTTGCTATGATTTGGCCTCGACTTATAGCTTGTGTGGATTCCCTGTGCTAAACATATACCAAATGGACGAATTGCTGTGCATTTCCCATGTACATACACGCCTCACTTACGAGACCTTTGAAAACTGATAAAAACTTTCAATGGAATTATCATTGCTCCGTGACTACTAAGGCCGAGGTTGTTGATACAATCCACCTCCTCTTCTCGGCATTTTATCTGCCCACCATTCCCTGACTGGCAAAGGATGCCATTTACTTTGCTAATCTGGCTCTAAATGGCTCATCGTTCGTTGAGTCTCACCTCAAGACTATATAAAACATTTTATTTTGAAACAACATAACTTTTCGGAGCCGCTTTTAACAATGTCACTTGTGTCTTGTTCCTACAATATCATCACTGATTGATCGACCTTCCCTGCTCTTGTTAGGTGCTAGAGGTGTGGGCAGGCTGAAAAAGCTCGGGCCATCTTTAGGACCGATTTCACGAAAAATTATGTTGTTGCTTCGGCATTTAGTTGTCCACACAACAAATTTCGTACTTACACTTTCTCTCGGTTCCCGAGCTGAGACTGAGATCACCGAATGATTTTAAAGAGTCTTTCAAGGTAATATTTACCTTGTGCTCAAGTAAAGGATACATTGTTTATCTTGCTGAGGCTGTGAACTTCACGCTTTTCTTCTGCCGAGACCATGTTTGCAATCTCGTGTAGTTCGTTATATGAGCTGCTGCCTTGTTGATTTCCCCGTCTAGAAAAAAGGATAACGACTAGGAAGCTTCATTGTTTAGATGTATATCAAAAGAAGTTTTTTGATTTTGATAGCTTCTCCACCACCATTTTTTATCCTGACTCATATTTCCGAAAACTGTTTCATTCAAGAAGGAACCAGGATTATTTTCCTGGTTAATTCCTGACCAGAGACTAGGACTCAACTGGTTGGGCAAATCAGTCCTTCAGAGTCGCTTGTTTATGCATGGGCCCTTTGGATGATCCGAACTTTCCGCCATCCAGGTTTTGAAGAATTCCTCAATAGATTGATTTTGGGGTACCTTCAATTTGCTTGAAGAGGCGAGTGGAAGGTAATAGGAGGTTGGCCTCACAGAAGGCTGTAGGGGGATTACATTGGAGCTGTGATTTTAGATTTGTCATATGACGGACAAAAGCTCAGCAAGGATTCATCGGGGTCACAGAGCGGCGCGCAGAGGACCTATTGCAAAAATCTAAAATCACAGCTCCAAGGTAATCCCCCTACAGCCTTCTGTGAGGCCAAATTACTATTCTCTTCCACTCGTCTCTTCAAGCGAAATGAAAGGTACTTTAGCATTTCCATTAACCAACCCTGCTGGTCGGTCTGATCCACTCTGACTGGGCTGCAGTTGTCTGTTAGTCTGTTGGCTTTCATTAGACTAACTTGGTCTTTCCAGATATATGGTTTTTGTCACTTTCCTCTTTTCAACTTCATTAAGTTCACGTTTAAACTGAATGCCATTTATTTCCATGTCAATTGGGACTTTACATCCATCGCATCAAAACTCTTAGCTATAGTTATTCAGTTATTTTCAGGTTTGCTCAGTTCATCTTATAATTTGCCTTATTTATAGTTCCTTAATTATAATCAATGTTCATTACAATAGCAGTTTAGTGCAACTTTAATTCCTGATTTTTATTATTTTTCGACATGTCAAAGAAGCCGCCATTAAATGGCTTCAGGATTTACAATTGAATAAATCTTTGGTTTCCCCACTAATTCTTCCACATCAAATGTGATCTGCCTTTTTCCTCTTGCATTCAACCCATATTTTGTCTTCCTTAGCATTGCTGGGTGAATCGAGAGTCTCGCTTCAAACTCCACCTGGAAAATGTAATGTGACTCCAAGCGCTATTTCCCTCCTCCCATATTTGCTATATATTACTTGTTTCAGGCATTTTTCTTGCTGCTTATCCCTCTAACTCTGAGACGCCTTTACATTTTGCCTTTATTTTCAATCACATTCTTTGGAATTATTTATTTAGGTTCTCAGAATTAGCTGCATCACCTCCGATTTTCTTGCCTTCATTCGTTTTTTTCGTTTTTTCATTTTTTTATTGAGAGCTATGAGATCTCTATTTTCGTGACAGAGAATGCCCTTTGAAGGCACTGTCCTTCAAAACAAACCACTTTTCTTCCCCTTTGATGTCTCTTTGCTCTTAGTTACTTCAAATTTATACCATTACTTTATTATCATTTCTCGATTCGAAGAATCAATTAACTTGGAATCCTTCGTTTTTTCAGATATCATCTTCCTCTTAGGCCTAAGAGAAGACTGCTCCTACCCTTATTTTGTTATTGAATTCTTTTATCTTGTTTATACTATCGTTTATCACCGAATTCGTCAGAGAGATATGTTAGAAAGGGTACATTAGCTATTATCTATTTTAAAAAGACTTATTCCTTTTGTCACTTATTTTCTTTCCCTGATCATTCCGGGAGCTGGGATCTGATTAATTGCCCTGTAGTGATCTGAAAACCATTCACTTTATTGCTTCCCCTTTTCCATGATCACTTACACCTAACCTTGAATTCATATTCCGTTTGGTTCAGCTCGAGTGATTGTATTTCCTTCTGTATTGCTGGACACTTTTCTTTTGATCTGACCCGGGGCATATCTACGGCTGTGCCATTCGCTCATATGACTCGTTTTATGATCTATGTTTCCTTTCTTTCCCGGAGGTACCTATTTATTTTGCTCTATGGCCTTTAGTTAAGCACGGTTACTTTGTGATCTTTCGTTTATGATCGTAGCCTACCTTAAAGCTTTTTTACATTGCTCTACAGACTCAACCCTTATGCCTTTACATTCGACTTCTCATGCACGAAATATTTTCGTTCATTAGTTATATAAAGCTGTGACTATACTTATTGACATTTTTTTTCTTTTTTTCCATTTCATATATAATTCACTAACGTAATCGTGATAAATGACTTTTTTAAACAAACATACAGAAAGAGCATAAAAGTAACTAAAATGAACCAGGGTTGAGTTATGGTCACATTTTTTGAAGGAGTAAATATCATCCATGCATAATTTGACCCCTCAGACAGCTAGATGTTTTTTGGTCTGGCTAGGGTTTCCGTCCATTCTTCAGTTAGCTGTACGATTTTGGGCCCATGTGGCAAGCATTCTTTAGCCGAGCTCTCGTAAGCTGTTACCAAGGCTGTAGCCTAACAGTGGGTAATTGCTCCTTGGTATTCCTGACGTTTTGTCATGCTGAAAGGTTGGAGTAGTCTGATGGAACATCACTTCTCAAGTGCAATTCACGGCTAGCAGGCGATTTATTTCTTCCCTCCAACCTGGATTGGCCTTGTTTACTGCAAAATTTTTCGGGGTAGCCAGTAGCAATTAACGTCCATTTTATAAAATCTAACTTGCGTTAGCCCCATCTTTGTTCACCTTGCAGATTTTATGTAATGTTACTCCAGCCAGCTTGGCCTTATATCTCTGTATGGCTGAGCCCGCCTAGTCAGAACAACCACTCATTCTGATCGTTTTCAGGAGATTTGTTTGCTCCAGTGCTGTCTAGGTCAACTGGAACATGCCAAGCAGCGGGCATACCATTTATATCTAATTGAGCCATGTTTTGTCTTTTGGGCGGCTTTTAATTGGGGCTCAAATATGTCCTCGAATGCGGAGGTTAAGACCGATCCTGTTAGTACCAGCTACCTCTCGACCCAACTGGCTGCCAGATTGCAAGTAGAGGTGAACATCGGTTGGACCTTTTTAATTGAGATGCATGTGCGTATTCGTCTCCGATTGCGACAGATTTGCTTCGTCCTTGTTACTGGGTTTGCTCAGTACTTGTGGCTGCTTCTATTAATGAAGCCTCTGTTCTTCTGAATTCCATCTGCTCTGCCTTTTTTGAGCTCTCATCAATGACTTCGGTGGCTGGAGGTTGATGGAGAGTGACTTGATTCACAGTATATGGCCAATATATCGAGGTTTTAGGCCATCTTATTTCGTCTATTCTCATCCAGTAATACGCTATATAGAGCTTGTATGAGGTATCCGACAAAATGATGACATTTTTCAAGAATTCTCAACGAGATAGACCATCATCGGCTTCGTCTCTTTTTTTGTTTAAATTTTTGCGCTCCCTCATTGGAAGAATTGTGTGAAAAGAAAAGTTTAATTCGCGAAAAGATGCTCTGTTTTGACTTACTAATTTTCCTCTTAAAAGTCCATACTCAGCAGAAATTTTGGTTTCCTTTTTTGATTGGGAGTTCATCTAACTCGGATTTCTGGACTAATAAGTTTTTGCAGGCGACTATTCAAATTACTTCTGACATATGGGCCGACAGATTTCCACTTAAACGCACAAAACCTTATAACCTTATTTTATTAATCAGAATTTCATCTATTCTCCTAGTGTCTTTCCATAATGGCAGCATTACTTTACTAGTTTATTTGCCCAACTTCGTTTTGCCTTAAATGTCTTTTCCTCTTCAGCCCTTTACTTGGCATTGTGAAATAATCATTAGTTAAGTCCAGTGGATGGTTTCATTTCCTGATTTATACCTTCATTCTTTCATTGATTTCATGACACAGGCCAATAAGTACGATTAGAAAATAAATCAAGAAAGGAATATGCATTTTCGGGCTTCCTATACAAACAGCAAATCTGCCCCTTTCCCACCAAAAAGGCCGTCATTCTGTGACTCCGCATTTAGTGTAATCTTTCCATCTATTCTAATCTGTAGCCTAATTACTTTCTTCAGACTCTTTGCTCGTAATCCATAATTTTTTGCTTAGTTAATCACACTTTCTGTTTGGCCACGTAGCTTTTATGTGTCTGACTTCCTAGAATTTTGCTGCGTCCTGTAATCTGCCCTCTATTATGCAAGCAGAAAAAGACTGATGCACTGAATGCGTGTATAGTCAAAAAGAATATATGCCAGTTGGGGGGAGATAAGGCCTAGATGGTGTAAGCGACAAATGAATCTGTGTAGGAAAGAACTTTCTGTGACAGCGCAGTAGGTGTTGGTGGTTGTTGTTCGTCTACGATTACAGGATCTTGTCTACAATACTTCACACTCGATATCTGAAAGGACGCTGAGTGGAACTTAAGCGCAGACATGACCACTCCCTAGTTTCACAAGATCAACACTCCAAGTCGAAAGATATGAACTAGCCGAACAAAAGCTTTGAATTGGGTGTACTGAACAGCGCTGAACATGGGGCATTCATCAATGTATGTCGCTTTTCAGGTCCGGTAATAATTAAAGAGAAGACATGTATAGGAACAGAGGGAGATTGGTCCTATCTCGCTCAACGAGACTAGAAACAGCTCAGTTCACAGATCCAGTCACTGAGTTGGTAGCCATTACTCATGTCTAGTCAACACTCATAACTCCTAAGCAATCGTCCCTCATATTCGGGTTTGGCTAAATTATGTGTGTGAGATGTATTCATTCTATTTCGTTTCAGGTGAAGGACTGGTAGTAGAACTTTCCCACGAGGTCTTAACTGAGCTAAGAATTTGGAAGGAAGGGCTTAGTGGAATTGACCGGCATCGTAAGCAAAGAAATGGTGAAAAATTCCTCTATCAGTCTTTTGGTCAGCCTAAGCAACAGGTGGTCTGAGGTCAGGAGAGAAGTTGGGTTTCGAGGAGTCCCTTAGTAGATTGATACTGGCATGTCTTTTAGTTCGTTTGAGAAGGCGGGTCAAAGGGGTTCGTAGATTGGCCCCAACGGATGCCGAAATGGGACGAAAGGACCAAATTTAAAGAACTACTAATGCTTCCCTCAGTCATGCCTTCCTTTAGAAAATCTGCCTACTTCCTTTTGCTGATCAGGTTGTTATAAAGTTTTATGTTTATATGGTTGTATCCAGTAGAGAAAACTTGACTCATACAGGACACAGCCACCCGCAAAGGTTTCTGAATTCAGAAATAGGATTAGGCTGAACATGTTCACCACATGGTACCAGGTGGAGTGGTCTAAATGTCAACATAATGAGATGTATTCACCCTATTTCATCTAAGGTGATGAAGGACTGGTAGTAGAATTTTCCCACAATGATATGAA